AATTTAATATTGGAATAATCACTGTTTTGGTCTTTTAGTTATTGCTCAACTATCAATCTATTGATCTAGTTTTCAATTTGAACTAATGTAATCCTTGAATCGTCTCAAACTTCGTCAATTAAATTTTTTTGTCACTGTTCAATGATTCAATCGATAATGACCCCATATAGTAAGGGGCATTTAAGTCTTTTCTAGTCAGCTCCCAGGATTTAACCAGTAATGACGTGACCACGTTTAGTAAGGGATATTTAAGTCTTTTCCAGTCAGCTCCCGGAATTTCAATGGAGGTCTCTTGTCTTTAGTGACAATTCCAAATTTAGTCAATTATTGTTTTTTCCATTTAACAACCCATTCTAGATCATATTTTGGATGCTTCTTTTGGTCCTTACGATAACTTTTCTGGTGAAATCCTATTTTAGGTAAGGTATTTTTCTCTCTTTAATTTTTTTTTTCTCATGAGTTAATTCCAACGGAGGTCTCTTGTCTTTAGTGACATTTTCAAATTTAGTCCTAGGCAATTGTTTTTGCCATTTAACGACCCAACTAGACTATCAAATTTTGAATACTTTTAGTCCTCCCAATGACTTTTTCAAATGAAACCCTATTTTAGGAAAATGTATTTTTCGATAACAAAGAAGAGACTTCTCTCTATTTTTCCCCCTTTTTTTTTCCCTCTAAAGCTATAGTAGATGATTCATATAATCACGAACAATGAAACTCCGGTAAAATTTGGAATTGCCACCAAAGACAATGGAACTCTATTAAAATTAACTCTTTTAAAAATTATATTTTATTATGGGTATAGGTAAGCCCCAGCCGTGGTCGACGGGTCGAAGTAGACCCCTGCCGAGGTCGACCTTGGCCGGGCCGCGGGAGTCTCCTAGCCGAGGCCTTAGTCGGCCTGTGCCGGGGCCGCCCTTGGACCCTTGCACCACGCCTTCCTGGGTCGACCTTGGCCGGGCCGCGGGAGTCCCCTAGCCGAGGCCTTAGTCGGCCCGTGCCGGGGTTGCCCTTGGCCCCTTGCACCACGCCTTCCCGAGTCGGTTTGTCCCGAACCCGTTCCTAATATATCCATCAGGTATCAAATTGTTTTCTTCCCAATACTCATTATTAAGCTAAGACATATTCAATATAGTTGTAGACAGTAAGTCTTATACTCGGTAAATTGTTCTCTTCCCATACTCGGTAAATTGTTCTTTTGTACTCAATTAATTTCTTTGTTCAGTACTAGTTATCCAATGGGATAAACTAGTGGAAATTGTGAATTATTTATGCCTAATATTTAGCAGAATTGCAGTCCTACATTAATGGAAATGTCAAGAGTATCCTCTCAAATGCTCTGTCGGGTCGAGGCGTGGAGGGCCCTTAGGGTTGGGGTTCAGCCTTTTGGAAGAATGGAAATATCAAGACAACTACAAATTAAAGATCCAAAATACAACATTACTAAAAAATAAAAAAATAATAATTCAACCAAATCGTCAAATGACACAAGGATCTAAAATATCATTTTCCTCAAATTTTCTAACTAAATCAAAACATTCCCACATTGCATGCTGATGGACCTACACATATTTTATATACATTTTGGCAAATGTTTAGAATATATTTTTGGAATGTTCTCTGTGTATTTAGTGATAAATTACATTGAGTATTCACATTTGGTCAATTTGATAACCAAATTAAATATTCATTTTTAATGTTTTTTATACTTTAGATGGCGCTTTGAATGGTGTTAATGATATGACTAAATCAATACAAAAATAAAAACAAAAGTGTACAAAGTTCCAAATCCATTTCTGTCCAAAACAATATCGGTTTGGCATTTTGATAATAATTTGATGTAAGAAGTTTTAATTTTGGTAATTCTAGAGGTATTGCAAAGCGAACTCAAAAAGCTATAACTCTCGTGAAAATTACAAAGCTCAATTTTGAAGTTATGCACGTCCAACTTAGTTTGGATTTCGAAGATACTAAAATTGCTCACTATTTTTTCAGGATGCGTCAAGAATATTAAGGAACAAAAAATGTGATTTTTTTATAATTCAAGAATGAAAAGTATTATTTTATGTATGGTTAATATAGTTATTAAATTTATATTTATTAATTTTAATATATAATAGTTATTATTTGTAATGGCTTCGAATCATCAGTCCATCATTGAAAACAAGAGTAAACATTGATTGATTGGCTACTTGAACTATCTTGTGGGTAGCTTCGTATAGTAAGAGTTCTACTACATGTACTCCCAAATTCTACTCCCTCACTTTTAGTCTATGATGTGACAAACAATGATAGGATATTTTCATCATGTGAGTCTCAGAAAAAAAAATGTCTACATCTATTAAAAATTTGTGAGAGGAAGTAAAAGTCAAAGTAAGAAATAATAGTTCATGTAGTATTTTTGAGCTTCTTAGCTACATACACATTTTAGTGCCAAAAGTCAAAGTCTTCCAATGAGGGACTTTTCAGAATTGTTGTCTTCCTTTGTCTTTATTTTCATTTTGCCTGATAATTGTTGTAACTATTCCCTCCATTTTCTTGGTGAAATGACCTTATCTATATTTTTTCTTGCCTTGACTGACTCTATTAACTAAATTCCAAAGTAATTATTCCATCAAGCTAGACAGCTAGTCTTATTTTCACTCTTACACCCTTACATAGATAAAGAAAATTTCAGAATAATAATTATTAAAGAAACTTTACTTGGCAAGAAGGAGACATGGGAGCTTGCCGGCCTCTAAATTGGTTTCTATTCAATGGTCTAACCAAATACAAGAATATGAACCAAACAATAGAATAGTATTCATATTTTATTATTTTCGATCCTATTCTTTTCCTATTTGAATTATATTCTATTCACTTTATTTTTATTCTTTGAACCAAACACCACGTAAGAGTTAATTTCAGATTCAGTTCTCCAACTAGCACTCATTTACAATTTAAGTTCTTATCTCTTAAATCTACCATTGTAATCAACCATTACCATTGTGGCAATTGTTTCTAACACGTACGTGTGAACAAACAAAACCCTAACTTTCTTAGCTTATTATAGCATCCATAATTTCACCCTTAATAGGAAAAATTTTACAGTGAATTATATTGAAAGGATTCAACAATCCAAGACTAAATTTAGTAGTTTGTAATAGTTAGATGACTAAATTTGAAATTAATTAACTCAAACTTATAGTTATCTTAAGCATGCATGAAGAAAGATTTATCGACAATTGTTCAAACCTTGTGGCTGTAGTTTAGTGGTAAGAATTCCACGTTGTGGCCGTGGAGACCTGGGCTCGAATCCCAGCAGCCACATTTTCTTTTGTGCACCTAGTCTTGGTTCTCTCCCTCCCGGATGTTTTCAACCCTGGTCAGGCTTTGAAATCTTCTTTTTGCTGATTTAATTGAAGTTGTTAAATCAAGAGTTATGTAATTTATTTTCTTCTTCGTTGCATTTAAAAAAAAAAAAACAAATCTTATAATTTATGTACACAATGACTATTTGCTAGGGTAGCTAATATAATATTTCTAGGTTCATAAATAATATCATCCTTGCTTAGTTTTGAAATTTTAATAAGTTCAAGAAAAATATTAATAGTAGTGTTCAAAAAATTACCATCCACCTTCATTTGTCGTTTTTTTTTTTTTTTTTTTTTTTTTTGAGTGACAAGAAAAATTTACAACTATTATTCAAGAGTGTGTATTGATAAACTCCATCTTATAACTTTAGTTGGCAAAGCACCACATGAAGGTTTTAATATTTTATAATACTGGCACGAGGAATCTATGCAGATTAAGGATCATTGAGGGAGTGGCATTTTTCTAAGTTCTAACCTCATCCTTTAATCATTTCACGGTTTTACTTTATATATATATATTTTTTTAAAGTAAAGAAACAGTTTTATTAAGAAATAATTTTCGAAGTTGCAAAACCCAGAAATCATACATTAGAGCAGTATGGACAAAGTCCGGTACAGAACCAAAGCTAAAGGCAACTAGTGGCGACGTCCTAGTCATACCAAACTCGGCGAGAACATCAACTACAAAATTAATTTCACGAAATGTTGGAGAAATTAGCCTGATAATATAAAAATAAAAAATAATGTGTCATCGTATAATTAATCATTGCCATAGAAGCGAATTCACCACTACCGGTGCAGGTTCACAACACTGACATCACCCCTGAAGGATAGTACAATAATCCCCGTCGAGCAGGATTGGAACTTACACACCATACTTAGTTTAATAAAGAGACAAGAAATATATCAGACAATCTTTGTCTGATTTCTTAAACTCAAGGAATAACTTTGTTTAAATAATGGAGGCCAATCAATTAAGGCCACATACTATAAAAAGATCTTAGTCATTTATTCAGTTTGTGGTGAATATTAAACTTTGATTAAAGCATATGAAATTGAGAGCGCATTTTTCAAAACAATCCCCACAAATGCAAGGGCATGAAAAGTAAGACTGGAGACATATAAATTAAAGGTTTGACACTTAAGTGTTAGTGAACAAATCTTGAACTGGCACATAGTAACATATGTATAATATCTTCTGATTTAGTGAGTGAACGAATCTTGAACTCTTCGACTATAGTTTAAACCAAAGTCAAAGTCCTCAAAGTCTTCCAATGATGGACTTTTCAGAATTGTTATCTTCCTTTGTCTTTATTTTCATTTTGCCTGATAATTGTTGTAAGTATTCCCTCTATTTATATTTTTTCTTGCCTTGACTGACTCTATTGACTAAACTCCAAAGTAATTATTCCATCAAGCTGGACAGCTAATCTTATTTTCAGTCTTAGCTTACACTCTTACATAGATAAAGAGAATTTGAGAAGATTAATAATTAAAGATACTTTACTTGGCAAGAAGGAGACATAATATATGTTTCTTCTTCATATCATACGCTATAAGAAATACGATTTGACCGACCACAAGTCCTCTACACGCGGTTCCTAGCTAGCCACGATGATGATATAAATAGAACAACTAACCCTGCATGGATCTTCAATAATAATTCACTAAATAAAATGATGATGATTATGATTTGGTTTTGCTTGTTGATGAGACTCATCGACATCACCAAAGCTAGATCTGATATTTTTTTTCTGCGATATTATTGCCCAAATACAACTTCTTACTACACTCCTAACAGCACCTATAAAGCCAACCTTCATTCCCTTCTCTCTAATCTTTATTCCAATGCCACCCGAGCCGACAATAATGGTTTCCACCACACCACAGCCGCCGCCGGCAACGACACCGTGCACGGCTTGTTCTTGTGCCGGGGCGACGTCTCCACCCACGACTGCGGCCGCTGCGTTGCAGATGCCGGCAAAACCATACTGGAGCTTTGCGCCAATGGAAAGACGGCAATGGTTTGGTACGATTACTGCCTGTTGCGTTACTCGGAGAATTCCATGTTGGGGATATTAGACCAATCGGTGTGGTTCCCAATGAAGAACCCGGATAACAATACTCGACCAAATGAGTACATGCAGATGGTGGGGAACATGTTGGATGAGTTAATCACTCCGGCATCCGGTGGTTCCGGCGGCAAGAAATTTGCTGTTTTGCAAGATAACTTTAGCGGGTTTGAGAGGGTGTTCGCTCTTGGACAGTGTACCCCGGACCTATCTAACGTTGACTGTCAGATATGCTTCAGAAGTGCTATTAATACACTGCCTGGTTGCTGTTATGGAGCCTTGGGTGCTAGAGCTATGTACCCAAGCTGTTACGTTAGGTATGAGCTCTATGCTTTCTACAATCTCTCCACCGTAGCACCACCGCCGCCACCGTCTCCTATCCATCCTCCTCCTCCTCCTCCACCAACTATGCTCTCCAATTCCACTAGCAGCAAAGGTATGTACGTGATCACTTTTGGTATCTAAAAAAAATTTTGTTGTTATTTCCGACCACTTTTTGCTTTCAACTTGATTTGTGGTCGGAAATTTCATAATTTCCAGTAGGGGTCACAGGACCACAATATAATGAGATCAACCAGCCTATATTGCTCATATATAGCTGACTAGCTCAAATTAAGAAGGTCAATAGGCTGTTCTTGTTGGAACTCAAATTTGTAATATTGTGATTATTACCATGTTAACAGTCTGACTAACTTGGCTGGCTTTACCCATTCCGACATAATCTTGATAAGCTTGTTTGAATTCTTTATTTTCCCCTGACACTCTTCTCTCATCTCTTGTCTCTCCCCTCTTCTCTATTTATCTCTCACATCTCTCTTCAAGCTAATAATTTCAGAACACACACATACACACAAATTCTGTAATCCATAATCTTGCTTAGCTTGTTTGAGTGTATCTGTTAGTGAGGATTAATTCATGCAGGGAGTAGAGGAAAATCTTCTGCAAAAGTGATTGCAGCCTCTGTAGTGTCAGTCACTGGGATATTACTCTTCGTTTTATGCTTTTGTTTCTTCAAAATGAAAAGAGCAAAGAAGTCCCATTCTGATGTGAAGAAGACTACTTCTGGTAATGAGTACCATATATATTACATGTGATTATTAATTATCATCAATTTCGACAATCTGTTCTTGTTAGCAATATTACTAATCCGTTTAATTACCATTTTATGTATTTGTGTAGGCATGACTGAAATTCCAATAGACGAATCAGTACAATATGATTTTGGTACTATTCAAGCTATCACAAATTATTTCTCTCCGGATAATAAGATTGGTGAAGGTGGATGTAGTTCTGTTTACAAGGTATAAGTCTTGTCTTTCAACGTGTAAGATTATATTCCATGTTCATTTTAGATGCTTGAGTTATGAATTTTTACTATTTTTTTTTTTGTATATATTTCTCGTGTTTAGGGAAGGTTTCCGGATGGACAAGAAGTAGCGGTGAAGAGATTGTCGAGTAGTTCAAGACAAGGAGATGTTGAATTCAAGAACGAGGTTGCATTGGTTGCCAAGCTTTTACATAGAAATTTAGTAAAATTGTTGGGGTTTTGCTTGCATGGAGAAGAAAAGATACTGGTCTATGAATTTGTTTCCAACAAAAGTCTTAACTACTTTTTGTTTGGTTAGTTTTAAACCTGGGAATACCTTCCCTTTCTCTTAGGATTTTATTGAAGTTGAGAGATCAAAATAACAACCTGACTTGAATATAATTTTGTTAATTATTATGCAGATCCAGAGAAGAAGCATTTATTGAATTGGTCCACTCGCTTCAAGATCATAGTAGGAATAGCCCGTGGACTCCTCTATCTTCATGAAGATTCGCCTCTCAAAATTATACATCGAGATTTGAAAGCAAGCAATGTGCTCTTGGACGGAGATATGAACTCAAAAATATCTGACTTTGGCTTGGCAAGAGTTTTTATGGCAGATCAAACCCAAGAAAATACAAATAGAGTTATAGGAACATAGTAAGTTTTAATTTTCAGAGGTGCATGTATTCTCATACTAAACAAATTTAGAACAATTAGAACTCATTCTTGTTTGATTAGATCCTTTATTTATGTTATGGTTTTGCAGTGGCTACATGTCTCCCGAGTATGTTAAGCATGGCTTATTCTCCGTAAAGTCAGATGTTTTCAGTTTCGGAGTTATACTCTTGGAGATTATAACCGGAAAGAGAAACAATTCTTTGTCCATGAAATCAACCGGAGCTAAAGATCTTCTTAGCTATGTGAGTAAATTAGAAATCCACAACAAAAACTAACAATCACTGTTATGTTATGAAGCATGCACACATTAAAGTATTAAAGTGGTGAATATAATGTTGCAGGCTTGGAAACATTGGAGGGAGGACAGAGCACTAGAGATGGTGGATCAAAGTCTTAGAGGTTTGTATTCGAGAGATGAAGTGATCCAATGTATGAATGTTGGGTTGTTGTGTGTTCAAGAAGATGTGGATGAAAGGCCAACAATGGCGAACGTTGTGTTGATGCTGAATAGCTTTTCTGCTACAAGGAGAACACCTTCTAATCCGCCTGCATTTTTCAATGGTGGAATTGAGAGGATTTCGGTTGGAGGAACAGTGGATCAGTCCATGAATGAAGTTTCGATTTCAGATTTGTATCCCAGATAATAATTACGCACAAATATTCGATCTTTCAACATTAATTTGTAGTACATCCGATCCATTTGAGTTAGAAATAAAAGTGGAAAGGCTTGAAGTGTGCATGTCCAACGCTATATACACAAGAACCTTTTAAAAGAAGGTTGAATTGTATAGCATGCACTTGAAAAAGGCTTGACTCGTGTACGTTGACACCTGCGGATATGAATGTTGTCCGAAAAAGTGGTGAGCAATAAGCATCACACAATAATTTTTTGCTACGCTCCTAGCACCTTTGAAGTGTAGCAAATAATGTTTTAAGGATAGTTTGGATATTACACGACTCAAACTAACCATCTTAACTTCTCCTTTCACTTTTTGTGTTTGTTAGTTTCTGAAAATAATCTTTTTGTAGAATTATATTATTTATATCCCTAACAATTTTTACTTCATAAAAGTTCATGTATCATTCCCCGTAATTAATTATTGTAGCCCTTCAAACATAATAAGTTAGTGGGACCTATATAATTTTTTTGTTAAGTACTATTGACTCTGTTAGAATGTAGTATCTATTCATACATAGTTTTCTTAACTCTATGATCCGCTTGATAAATTAATGAGTTTATATTTTCATTTTTGTTATAAATATATACATTAAGTGGACATTATTAGTATAACGGATGTAACGGTCCGTCATTATGCTTATCATTATTGTACCCATTATTACACTTGTATATTATATATATGTTGTAGCTTTTGTACATGGGTGATGATGTTGAATAAGAATCCCTTGTCCAATCTAGTTTGCCTCTCTATTTTCCTTTGCTCTTTACTTTCATGTTCATTGTCTCAATTCTCCGGTTAGAAGCTAAAGGCCAACGGGCACAAACAACAACATTGCAAAAATTTTCTCATTTTTCATGTCAATGTCAAAGTCGTGCTAATTAAGATGGGGTGTAATTGTCTAAGTTTGTGGGACCTACGGAGTATCATTTACTAATTAAGTCTTTAGTCTTAAAGTTGACGAAAAGAATTTGTTGAAAAATTAGTGAAAAGGAAAGAAGATTTTATAATGTAATATATACGTTAAAATAGTTAATTGATTGAAATATTCATGTGTTATATGTTGGTTTGAATTGTGTGTTATGTTCTACTAACCAAACAGAATATATATTCATCTGGTAAGATATAGCCGCAGAAAAAAAAAATAAACAAAAAAAAAAAAACCTTACATGTAGGAAATAATTAGAAGTCAAGTGGAAATTGTAATTTATGCTTATTCATAATATGTCAATTATTAATATCACTCATAAATTATTAGTGATATAAATGTTACTTATCAATTTTTAAAATCGTACATATATTGTCCCTCTCACACATACGGTATGAAAATTGAGGGGTAATATTTACATTGCTACCGGAGGAGAAATATATATAGGTAAGATGTCCCTTATTTCAATATTTATAACGAATTTTAAATTACAAATAATGTGATCCGCTTGATAAATTAATGAGTTCATTTTTTTCATTTTTCATGTCAATGTCAAAGTCGTGCTAAGATGGGGTGTAATTGTCTAAGGCTGTGTTTGGAAACCCAGAAAATAACTTCTGGAAGTCATTTTCTGGATTTTTGGTGTTTGGCTACACCTGGAAAATCCAGTCAACGGAAAACATTTTCCGTTGACTGGGGAAAATGAGCCCAATTTGGCGGAAAATGACTTCCGCCAAATTTGGGCGGAAGTCATTTTCCGCCTCTTCTCTTTCTTTTTTTTTTTCTTTTTTTTTTTTTTTTTAATTATGGCGGAACTGGTTTCCGCCAGAAACCATAGGGTATGGTTTCTGGCGGAAACCAGTTCCGCCGGAAGCCATAATTTTTTTTTTTTTTTTTTTTTGTTTTAAAGATTTAAAATGAATTTTTAATTCAGAATAAAATAATTAAAATATTTAATTATACCATTCTACTCATTTTCCAGAAAATGAACCAAACACACTAAAACAGTTTTCCAAATGCAACCAAACACTGGAAAAGGAAAATGTTTTCCGAAAAATGACTCATTTTTCAGAAACCATTTTCCAGAAGTCATTTTCCTGCTTTCCAAACGGACCCTAAATTTGTACGTGGAACCTGTCATAGTCTTAAAGTCAAAAAAAGTCATAGTCTTATTAGTGGGACCATTTACTTAGTCTTCTGCCCATTAAGTTGACAATTTTTATTTTTTATTTTTATTTTTTCATTTTATGATAAAGGAAATTTACAGTCACTTGATGGTGTTAATGTCCTTAATCGACAAAGATGTTAATGGATTAAATAACTTAAATTGCTCATAACTGAACAACTCAAACATAAAAACTAAGGTCAATAAGTTGTTTTTATTATAAGTCAAATTTAAAATATTGAATTATTCAAGTCAATAATCTAACCAATTTAGTTAGAATTGTCTGACAAAAAGATTGTTAGTCCATGAACAACATAAAATTAAACTCGCTAGTCTAAACCCTAACCCAAAAAGAATTTATATATAACAAATTTATGGCACAAATGAATCATATCATTCGCAATTCACACGAATCATTTAGCAGAGATTAATAATTGTGCAACCCTCCATATAGTTTATACCTCACCATCACTAGGCCAGATATTTGCTTTGCAGTGCAGCAGTTATCTCAGTTCCTTGACAAGCCCACAATCATGCATTTAAGAGCAGCTCATAGAGTGTTACGGTACATCAAAAGTTGCCCAGCTCAAGGCATGTTCTTTCCAGCAGATTCCAGTCTCAAATTGAAGGGGTTTGCTGACTCTGATTGGACAGCATGCCCTGATACTAGAAGATCAGTAACGGGGTTTTGCATGTTTCTAGGGGAAGCCTTGGTCTCCTGGAAATCAAAGAAGCAAAGCACAGTATCCAGGTCCTCATCTGAAGCGAAGTACAGAGCCAGCTACCTGTGAAATTCAATGGCTAACTTTTCTGCTTGAAACTTTGGGAGTAAAGTTGGAAGGCCCAGCATTATTGTATTCCGATAGTAAGTCTGCAATAGCCATAGCAGAGAATCCGGTGTTCCACGAGCGTACAAAGCACATAGAGATCGATTGTCATCTCATAAAGGAAAAACTCCAAAAAGGTGTCATCAGGTGCTGCATGTTTCAACCAACAATCAGGTTGCTGACGTTCTGACCAAACCCTTGCAACCTTTGCTATTCCAGAAGTTCATCTCCAAGCTGGGGATCCACTCCATGTATACTCCAGCTTGCGGGGGGATATTAGAGGGATAATTAGCCTAAAAATATCTACATAATTGTTACAAGTTAGTTAAGGGGTTGTTAGTAGCAGTTAGTCCCCCTATATAGCATAAGATCTGCTCTGGCAGTTGCACTGATATTTTTTCCTTCATACCTGTAATTCTACTCTCCCATTCAATGTAACAGTACTTTCTCTTCCTCCTCCAAGTTCTCCTTTCATTTCCGTGATACAACCCTACATATAAATGCTTTGTGTTAGGCTATCTTATAAAAAAGAGTTAATTTCACCGAATGTCCATTGTTTTTTGTGATAATTCCAAAGTTAGTCTCAGACTATTATTTTTGCTATTTAACATCCCAGACCATGCATTAATAAGGGCATTTTTATCTCTTCATATTTTTCTGGTTTCAACTAGTTTAATTTGTTTATGACTTTACTAAAATCGGTTGAAAATATGATTACTAAAAATCAGATGTTACCTTAAAGTTCTAAACCAATTAAACCGATTGAAATCGAAAAAATAATTTAAAAAAATATAAAAAGACAAAAATGTCCTTACTAAAAATAAGAAAAACGATGAAATTTCTACATTCTTTCGTGCATTCACATTTAATGTGTACCAAATTAAATGAACAAAAAAAGCACTATTAGTTACAAAGATAAGATAGTAGCTTCTAAATTCAATTATGGTTTGAGTAAAAGAACAAAAGGATGACACATAAAACTTAAAGGGCAACACAAGTCCAAAAAAATATACAACATATTGAAGAGAAAAGGAAGGAGAGAGGGAAAACGGAAAATGAGAGCTATTAAGAAAAGCTTATAACTTCACGGACTTGTATTACTATATTTGTGTAAGAAGACTAGAAGAGTAATAGTCTAAAAAACTAAAAATAGTAAAAACTCGTTGAATAAAATTTTATACAGTATTTGATATAGGTCAAAGATATAGGGGTGTAATTGTCAACTAGGATTATGTGGCCTAATGGTACCTGAATTGAATTTTCATTTGGAAAGTTGTAAGTTCAAGCCTCAATAGAGACGTTATTAGCTCTTTGTGTTTTAGTAGGTTGAGAAAGTATATGAACATCTACTATAATATAATAGAGCCTAGCATTCAAAAAAAGAAGGGGTGTAATTGTCTAACCTTGACCAACATAAAAAATTATCGAAAAAAGTAATTTTTTCTCATTTTTCTGACGAATGGTTGTGGTGGTCGAAAATTCCGACCACCTTATGAAGAAATCAAGAATGGTTTCTTAGCTTGTTCTAGATTTTTGACTACCGATAGTCGAAAATTTTAGAATCCGTCCAATTGTTCTACTGACCGTTTTTTCGACGACTCTATAAACGTAACCGCTATTTCCAGTCACTTTCTCTGGTAGTCGGAAATAACGACGAGGGTTTTTTCGGATACCCAAATTGGTGAGAAAAGTGATTGGAACAAGTGTAGTAGAACTCATATATATAGCCCTGTTTGGTAAAATAATTAGCCTATCAACCAATTTTGATTTATTTGACCACTATTAACTATTGGACTTAGTTAAACAATCAATATAAGGTGTTTGATTAATTAACTTTTTGTAACAACTTATTGCTCCAAAATGTTAAAATTCAAAAAGCTACTAAAATTAACTTTTTCGATCAATTTTTTGAGAAAGTCATTTTGTATGTAATCAGTTAACAACTAACAACTAAGTTACCAAACATTTTTTTACAATCAACTAATGCTATCAACTAGTCAAATCCACCAACCCAATCAACTAACAATTATGAACTAACACGCCATCATCAAACAATCGTTATACCCTGCACCACGGTGCACATAGCACTGTGCGCCCCGCGCCTCCCAAAACGAGGTCGTTTTGTTAAGTTGTGTGGGGAGTCGACGCGACAAAGTGTATGTATATTATGTTATATAATTATGTACATTATGTTATAAAATTATGTACGTTCTGGTATACAATTATGTACATTATTTTATACAATTATGTACATTCGAACACACGATTTTTTTAACACTTAAAAGTTTATGTATATTCTGATTTATACAATTATGTACATTTTTAAAACAGGATTTTTTTTAACAAGTTAACAGGAAACACGAAAAAGCGGAATTAAAAAAAAAAAAAAAAAAAAAAAAAAAAAAAAAAAAGAAAGAAGAGCAAAACGACGTCGTTACACCAGGGCGCACAATGCATTATGTGCCCTGGTGCTGGTGCACGATATAAATTACCATGTTATCACGATTTACATCCTCCCAAATGCTCTGTTGGGTCGGGGTGTAGGGGGCCCTTAGGGCTGGAGTTCAACTTTTGGAAGAACAATATAAATTGCCATCATCAAATTTGACCAACCTCAAGTCCAAAAAGGCCGCACTCAAAAAAGGAAAGCTTATAACTTCACGGACTTGTATATACTATTTGTGTAAGAAGACTAGAAGAAGCGTTGAATAAAATTATTATTATTTTTTTTGAAAATAAATAAAATTTTATATTTGATATAGTTCAAAGATATAGGCTATGGAGGAAAACTTTGGATTTACATCCCATTTTGGTGCATGGAGTAAGTAGTCTATGGCTGAATGGTATTTATTTAACGGATCCAACCCTACCATTCCTCTCTCATTCGCTGAATGGTATTTTTTTTTTTTTTTTTTTTGTATTTTATTATTTGGTTTTGTATCATTCTAACCCAATAACAACCATGAACTAACACATCTTCATCTTTAATTCTTCACCTTATATGTAGTTGATTATGATTTTATTGTATTTTTCAGTGATATATCTCACAGTATGATGATGGTGAATTGGTTTTGCTTGTTGAAAAGAGCAAAGAAATCCCATTCTAATGGGAAGGAGACAACTACTGGTAATATAATGCATTCCCACCTAGATTGCTTGTAATTATATTTCATCTATCATCTGTTCTTGTTAGTAATAATAATCCTTTAACCATTTATATATTTTTGTGTAGGCATGAGTGAAATTTCAATAGATCAGAGGAGTCTGCGGACCCTAGAACATGATTTTAGTATTACTGAAGCTAGAACGAATTACTTCTCCCCTAATTATAAGATTGGTGAAGACGAATATGGCATTGTTTACAAGGCAAATTAAAGTCTAGTCTTTCATTCTAATAGAGCCAGTAGCATTCAAAAAAAAGTCTGGTCTTTCGAAATGCAACATTGAATTTTGATTTTAGACTAATGAATTCTAATTGTTCACTGATAATTATATTATACATATTCGTGGTGTTCAGGGAAGGGGTGACGTTGGCATCCCAAAGGTAGCGGTGAAGAGGCTGTCAAGGAGTTTAACAAAAGGAGATGTTGACTTCAAAAATGAGGTTGCAATGATTGCCCAGCTTCGTCATAGAAATGTATTAAGACTGCTGGGTTTTTGTTTGCAAAAAGAAGAAAAGATACTCATCTATGAATTTATTCCTAACAAAAGTCTTGACTATTTCTTATATGGTTAGTTTTAGACAACAAGTTGAAAATGTTTTTTTATTTATTTATCAATTATGAATTTTTAATTTATTGATATAGAGATATCAAAACAGTACTCTAACTTGAGGGCTTAAACCCTGTTGACTCTTATGCAGATCCAGAAAAGAAGGAGCTATTGAATTGGCACACTCGTTACAAAATCATAGAAGGAATAGCTCGTGGTCTCCTTTATCTTCATGAAATTTTGCGTTTCAAAATCGCACATCATGACTTGAAAGCAAGCAATGTACTATTAGACGAAGATATGAATCCAAAAATATCTAACTGTGGTCTGACAAGCATGTTTATGGTAAATCAAACCCAAAGAAATAAAATTAAAGCTATCAAAACACAGTAAGATTTAATTTTCACAGATAAATGTAACATCAACTATATATTCAATTTATCATCTCTAGAAGTACCATTAATCATTCTTGCTAAATCCTTTATTAATGTTATGATTTTCAGTGGTTACATGTCTTCCAAATATTCTTTGGATGGCTTGCTCTCTATGAAGTCTAACGTTTTTAGCTTTGGAGTTCTACTCTTGGAGATTATAACTGGAAAGAAAACAGTTCTTTGTCCATGCAATCAACTAAAGCTCAAGATCTTATTAGCTATGTGAGTATATTAGAAATTAAAATGCATAGGTACTTTTTGGTAAAATAGTTAGCTTAACAGCCAATTTTGACTTATTTGACCATTATTAGTTGTTTGACTTGGTTAAAAAATCAATATAAGTGTTTAGTTATTCAGCTTTTTGTAACTCCAAAATGCTAAAATTCAAAAAACTGCTCAAAGCAATTATTTCAATTAGCTTTTTGAGAAAAAAAATTATAGTATTATACCAAACAGCTATCAGCTAACACCAGTGTTGCAAAAATCGCGCCTAGGCGCTAGGCGGTCGGCCACCTAGGCGCCCTAGGCGCCGATTAATCGCTCTAGACGCCCGCCTAGGCGCTCTAGGCGTCCTAGGCCGTCCCCAGGCGCCTAGCGATTTTTTCAACTTTGGCTAACACCTTTCTACAATCAGTTAATGTTATCAACTAGTCATATCCTCTAACCCAATCAGCTGACAGTCATTTACCAAAGAGGGCCATAACAAAAACTGAAAATCTCTGTTAAAGCACATTTTAATTAAACTGGTTAATGTTGCAGGCTAGGAAACATTGGAGGGAGGGCAGAGCATTAGAGATGGTGGATCAAAGTCTTGGAGGTTTGTATTCGACAAATGAAGTGATACAATGCATCCATATTGGGTTGCTATGTGTCCAAGAAGAGGTGAATGATAGGCCATCAATGGCAAATGTTGCGTTGATGCTAAATAGTCATTCTGTAATAAGGGCACTTAATCCGACTCTTAAACTTTAGTTTTAAATGATGCCTAAGTGTTTGAACGTGATTTATTTTTTCTGTTACATTTTCTATAAATTAAAAGTTTATTGTAGTTTGGAATCTAATTTCCTAACATAGTCAAGCAAAAATAATTATTATTTCAAGATTTGTTGTACACCCAAATCAACACTGATGACTGATGTCTTTGTCAATGTTAAAGTCTTCCATGATGGAGAGTCTTTTGATATCGAAAGAGGAAAAACCTTATCGTATCGAGATTAGAAAGTCTTCTAGCTTATATCAAGACCTGAAAAAATTTGCTAATATCGAGATTAGGAAGCTTGCTGATATTTAGAATCCAAATTCTACTAATATCTAAACCAAGAAATCTATTGATATTGAAACATGAAAGCATGTTGATATTGAGATTGAGAAAACATGTTAAATTGGAAAGGATTCAATAATCCAAGACTAAATTTATTAGTTTGTAGTAGTTAGATGCCTAAATCTGGAATTAACTCAAACTTATAGTTCATGAAGAAACATGACTAACTTAAGCATGCATGAAGAAACGATTATCGATAATTGTTCAAACCTTGTGGTTGTAGTTTAGTGGTAAGAATTCCACGTTGTGGCTGTGGAGACCTGGGCTCGAATCCCAGCAGCCACACTTGAACAAAACATGTTCTATTTTGCCTGGTTCTTACGAACTAATCTGCTGCATAAACCTCATCTTGATTCTTGGATCAAGCTCAGCCCCATTCACTATTTTCTCTGAGGTTTAGAAGGTTCTATCATGGATTTTATACTCACATACTAGGAGGTCCTGTGCCCTACCTGAATCTTTGAAGTTGAAACTTTTTTTCCTAGTTACAATCTCCAAAACCGTATCAGAACACCAAAGTTATAAAAATCAGACTTACAGAGAACTGACCGTGCATTGCATATTCGAAAGACATGTAGTGACTACTAGGCATTAAATAAATTTAAGATTTTAAGTATACACATGGAAACAGATGAACTGAATGAAGACATTTTCTTGCAATGATGAACTGAATAACAAAGGATGTAAAAGTTGTTGGGTGCCCACTGAGATTGTAGATGGACACAACGTAGATGAAAATGAAAACTTATACTATGGTTCCAACCACTGCCAGCACCTTCTTTAGAGAACTCATAATGATTAATAGAGTATTTGATAGTGGTATGCTTCATAATTACAGATATACAAAAGTTTCATGTCCAAGCCAGAAAGGGCAGCATTAAATTAAACAACCAATATTCATTATTTCCAAACAATATAATGCATGTATTCCGGGTCGGTCCAAATATTTTATAGGCTCGGGCCGAAATTAAAAAAAATGTCCCTATATGAAAAACTAAATTTAAATAAATTTAATAATACTAATAAAAATGATAATATCAAAAACAAGAAATAAGATTAGAAAATTTTCAATAATTTTTTAAATACAAAAATAATCATGACAAAAAATTTTTACGTGCTTTACTCGATGCAAAATCATCGATAATTGCATCAAGATTAATATTCTCTAGCATATCTTTCTCAATACACAAAATCGCCAACCATCCAATCTTTCTTGTGACATTGAAGATCTCAAGTAGGTTTTCAATAACTTCAATTTTGAAAAACTTCTCCCCGCTGATGCTACAGTCATGGGTATTGTCAATAATATTCGATAAGCAATAGATCACATTGGGTAGCAATCCGCAACTTTGACAAACTCAAGAATCTCAACATTAATGTGTCTGGCAAAGTCATCTGTAACACTTTTAATTCAGAGAAAAGATCATCAGAATCAACACCAGACATATCATTATGAGAAAAAGTCTTCTCTTAATTTATTATTATCCAATGACTTCAATATTTTTGAATTATATAAAAATCCAAAAATATTTTCAAATATCTTTAGTTGTTCAAATCTATTATTCAATGGAGTAATTGCCACATCCACAAAATTGACTCTAAATGACTCCTCAGGTGATTGAATTTCCGGCCTCTTCATTATCATTTTCATCAAATTGTTTTTTCCTAATAATACATCGTCGAATTGGAAATGTAGGCTCTATGTCTATATCATAGGCAATGTTTTTGGCAATATTCATACTAGAAGCAAACCCTTCATTTCTATATTTCTCAAAAAAATTAATTACACCTTCTAATTTGGTCATGGTAGTTTCAATGCACATATATTTTGATTGCAACTTTTTACTTAATAACAATTCCAAGTAAAAAATTAAAACTTTGGAGTACAGTAACCAAGCTATCCGCTTCACTTTTTGATTTGGCATCATCACAAGATTTAGATAATTCTAACAAAGCTAACCTTATTTGAGGAGCTTGAAATCTAATAGTTTTGACACTTTTTATTCTACTCTCCCATCGAGTATTTAATAAATATTTCACGGTCAAGTTTGGAACATTATCAAGTAAAATTTTCCCACCTTTTTGTTGAACTTGAAAATAAAGCATATATACGTTGCATATCTCCAAAAACTGAAACTGCTTTAATACAAGAATGTGTCATATCACTAACAGTAAGATTAAGGCTATGACAAGCACATGACATATACAATGCTCTCAGATTTATTTCAAGTAATCATTTTTGAACACTTTGGTGCTTTCCTTTCATATTACAACCATTATCATAACCTTGACCTCTCACATCACCAATTTTAAGACCTAGAACTTTAAGTCCACTTTCAAAAACTCTAAAAAGTATTCTTCTATTTTAATTTTATTTGATTACTAGACATATTAACACATCATACTACTAAACTCATTTGTTCTTGATGACTCACATCAGGGGTACAATCAAGAATTATAGAAAAATATTTAGTCTCTTTAATAATATTTATGATAGAACTTTTAACATTTTGGCCCAAAATAGAAATTAACTCATTTTGAATTTTGTGACCAAGATAATAATGATGAATTTCATGGTTGTGAATACGTCTAATATGATCTTGCATTATCAAATCAAGTTTTGCAATCATCTCAATCAATCTCAAAAAATTGTCATTATTATTATAGTAATTTTTTCATTTGATTCTCGAAAATCGAAATTATGTTTTGCAAGACATTTTACAGCAGAAACTATGCGTAGAAAACCATGTCTCCAACGTTCTTTTTCTTTCTACCAACGGGTAAACACGTATCTTCAATCTCTACATAAATAAATGAATAAACACTTTACAAAACTTACAATAAGCCCTTTTTGGTATGTGAGTATAAGTGGAGATTATAACCGGAAATAAAAACAGTTCTTTGTCCATGCAATTAACGAAAGCTCAAGATACTCTGAGCTATGTGACTTTTTTAGAAATTAAAATTCATAACAAAACTGGAAATCTCTGTTAAAGCACATTTTAATTAAACTGGTTAATATTGCAGGCTTGGAAACATTGGTGGGAGGGCAGATCATTTGACATGGTGGATCAAAGTCTTGGACTTTTGTATTCGAGAAATGAAGTGATAGAATGTATCGATGTTGGGTTGCTGTGTGTCCAAGAAGAGGTGGATGATAGGCCAACAATGGCAAATGTTGTGTTGATGCTAAATAGTTATTCTGTAACGAGGAGACTTAATTCGCCTCTTAAACTTGCGTCTTAAATGGTGCCCAAGTGTTTGAACACGAATTATTTTGTGTCTTACATTTTCCTATAATTTAAAAATCTATTCTAGTTTGGGATATGATCTAGCTAATTTCCTAACATAGTCAAGCAAAAATAATAATTATTTCAATTTTCAAGATTTGTTTTACACCCAAATCAACATTCAACACTGATGTCTTTGTCAATGACAAAGTTTTCCCATGATGGGGCGTAATTGTCTATGCAGCCCTTCAAACATTTTAACTTAGTGGGACCATTTGTCCATTTACCAAGTCTTCTGCCCTTTAAGTTGAACAAAAGTTTTTTTTAAAATTTTTCTTTTTTTTTAGCGACGAGCAGCCATTACTTGATGATATGTATAATCTTATTAATCGAGAGTTGCAATGAGGTAAATTAGTTTAAATTGTTCATAATTGGCATGTTCAAATCAAGAAAATCAATAAATTGTGCCCATTAGAAATCGAACTTTGAATCTTATGATTATTAAGTCAATAATCTGACCAATTTACCAGTGATAGTTCGGACAAAAGAAATTATTAATCCACGAATAACATGCAAAACTCGCCTGATAAGGTGGCCGATTGAGTATTGTCTTCCAGTCTATTTTTTCTTATTTTCAAAACTGTGGGATTTAAGTTTTATTTTCAACGCAACAAGAATATAATTTATAACAAACTTACAGCACAAATGAATCATTCGCAATTCACAGGAATCATTTAGCAGAGATTGATAATTGTGCACCTTCCATATAAATGTTTCGTGTTAGGCTATGCTATAAAAAATTGTTTAGATAGGTTTTGATGATATTATGTAAGGAAAATTGTAATTTATGTTTCTCACAAATATCTCAATTATTAATGTCACATTAGAATTATTAGTAGTGTAAATGTGGTTACTTGTAATTTTTCTTGTTTGAAGACCACTTTTTTTCTTTTTTCACCATTATTTTACTTTCTTCGTTTGTTCTCCTTCCGCCGACAACTATGTTTCTCCTTCTTCGTATTAGGGGAGGGGCAATATATTATATATGTCACATTTTGAAAATTGAAGAAAAATGTAAAAGTATTCCTAATAAGTAATGTTGGCAAGTGTTTGTTACTTATATGGGAAAATATAATACTTTTGAGGATAAATGTAATACTTGATATAGTTGCCAAAAAAAAAAAAAAAAACTTACACATAGGAGAAAATTAGAAATCAATCAGAGTTGTCCATTTAAAAAAATTTAACAGATGAAAATATTATGTGTACTTTCATTTTCTACTCTCAATTTTGGCTGTCACATACAAAATCATGATGTAAATATTTGTATTTGGATCCATATGAAAAAAGTAACTTATCACTCCTCTATATATTAGAAAGTAGAATTTGAAAGTCCATGGTAATAGAATTCATATATATATATATATATATATATATATATATAGTCAAAAGGTAGGCTTTGTTAGCCCAGGCTGGGTTTCCCCCTCCCTTGATAAAAAAACATAAAAATTTGACCAACCTCAAGTCCAGAGAAGCACTCAAATTTGACAAACCTGATCAACTGCTCTTCACGCGGTTCCTACAATAAATAAATAAAATAAAATAAAACCCAACAACAACCATGAACGCATCTTCATCTTCAATTCTTCACCTTATATATATAGTTGATTATGATTTTATTGTATTTTGCTGTGATATATATCTCACAGTATAATGATGGTGATTTGGTTTTGCTTGTTGATAACCCTCATCATCACCAAAGGTAGCTCTGATCTTCTGCAATATAACTGCGTAAATAAAACTTCTTACACTCCTAACAGCACCTATAAAACCAACCTTCATTCTCTTCTCTCTAATCTTCATTCCAACGCCACCCGAGACACCGGTTTCTACCACACCACAGTCGACACCGTGCACGGTATGTTCTTGTGCCGGGGCGACGTCTCCACGGACGTTTGCGGCGGCTGTGTTGGAGATGCCCGTAATCGGATATTAGACCTTTGCACCAACGAAAAGACGGCAATTATTTGGTACGATAACTGCATGTTGCGTTACTCGGAGAAGTCGATGTTGGGGATGGTAGACCAATCTGCCTGGTTAGCATGGAGAAACAAGGAGAACGATTCTCAACCAAATGGGTACATGCGGTTGGTGGGAAACATGTTGGATCAGATAACCACTCGAGCATCATTATCCAGTGGTTCTGGCAAGAAATTTGCAGTGTTGGAAGCTAATTTTAGTCCCTTTGAGAGGGTGTACGCTCTTGGACAGTGTACCCCGGACCTTTCTAAGGTTGATTGTCAGATATGCTTCAGAAATGTTATTGCAATGCTGCCTGGTTGCTGTTATGGAGCCGTGGGTGGTAGAGCTGTGTTCCCAAGCTGTAACGTTAGGTATGAGCTCTACCCTTTCTACAATCTCTCCGCCGTGGCGGCACCACCGGCACCGCCTCTGACCAATCCTCCTCCTCCTTCTCCTCCACCACCACCGACTATGCTCGCCAATTCCGGTAGCAGCAAAGGTAAACTTGATCTGGTGATTCTTTAACAAAGTATTGAATGCAGTATACATAGTCTTGGGTGGGTAGAATTGAGTCCAGCATCCTGCTATGCTGACTGTTACTGCCCGTTTGGTTCGCTGGAAAATATTTGATGAGGAATGGAATTGAAATTCTCTGAATTTCAGGAAAATGGATTCCATTGTTTGGTTTGTGGAAAAGAAATTACTGGGAATAGTTTGGTTGGATTTAAAATATTTTACACTGAAAAATATTTTCCAACCAACCAAACAAAGAAAAATCTAATTTTCCTTAAATTCAAGAAAAACATTTTTCATCCAACCAAACACCTCACGCAATTATAAGGAAATAAAGTTGAGCATTATAACTTTTGGCCTTTGGCGTAGTAAACGTTTGATCCTGAAACATGTACTACTGGAAATTATGAAATTTCCGACCACCTGAAAGTGATTTTTAAATCAAGTTGAAATCAAAAAGTGGTCGGAGATAGCAACAAAGATTTTTCCAGATACCAAAAGTGATCAGAACAAAGCTTTCGATTTGATTTAAGATCACTCTCAGGTGGTTGGAAATTTTAAAATTTCCAGTAGTGATGGCTAGCAACATTTTGTGGAAATTTGCAGATGTTCTGTAATCCATAATCTTTCGATCTATTGATGCAGGGAATAAAAGAAAAGTGACTATTGCAGCCTCTGTTGTGTCAATCACTGGGACATTAGTCTTCCTTTTATGCTTCTATTTCTTGAAAGTGAAAAGAGCAAAGAAATCCCATTGTAATGAGAGGGGGACAACTACTGGTAATATACTAATATAATACAATCCCACCTAGATTGCTTATGATTATCTTTCATCTATCATCTGTTCTTGTTAGTAATAATAATCCTTTTACCATTTATATATTTGTGTAGGCACGAGTGAAATTGAACCAGAGCAGTCCGTACAATATGATTTTAGTATTATTGAAGCTATCACGAATTGCTTCTCCCCTAATAATAAGATTGGTGAAGATGGATATGGCACTATTTACAAGGCAAATTAAAGTCTAGTCTTTCAAAGTGCAACATTGGATTTTGATTTTAGACTAATGAATTCTAATTGTTCATTGATAATTATATTATACATATTCGTGGTGCTCAGGGAAGGCATCCCAACGGGTCAAAGGTAGAGGTGAAGAGGCTGTCAAGGAGTTTAACAAAAGGAGATGTAGACTTCAAAAATGAGATTGCACTGGTTGCGAAGCTTCATCATAGAAATTTAGTAAGACTGCTAGGGTTTTGCTTGCAAAGAGAAGAAAAGATACTCATCTATGAATTTATTTCTAACAAAAGTCTTGACTACTTCTTATTTGGTTAGTTTTAGACTGCAAATTTAATTTTTTTTATTTTATTAATTATGGATTTTATTGATGTAAAGAGATCAAAATAGTAATCTGATCGACTTGAGGGCTTAAATCTTGTTGACTATTATGCAGATCCAGAAAAGAAGCAACAATTGAATTGGCCCACTCGTTACAAGATCATAGGAGGAATAGCGCGTGGGCTCCTTTATCTTCATGAAGATTCGGGGTTCAAAATTATACATCATGACTTAAAAGCAAGCAACGTACTATTAGACGGAGATATGAATCCAAAAATATCCAACTCTGGTCTTGCAAGTATTTTTAAGGTAGATCAAATCCAAAGAAATACAAGTAAAGCTATCAGAACACGGTAAGTTTTAATTTTCACAGATAAGTGCATGTAACCTCAACTATCTATTCAATTTATCATTTCTAGAAGTACCATTAACCATTCTTGCTAAAGAAGCTTAGAACTGTAGTTGTTCTTGTTTAATTAAATCGTTTATTAATGCTATAATTTTCAGTGGTTACATGTCTTCCAAATATGCTTTACATGGCTTGCTCTCTATGAAGTCTGACGTTTTCAGCTTTGGAGTTCTACTCTTGGAGATTATAACTGGAAAGAAAAATAGTTCTTTGTCCATGAAATCAACTAAAGCTCAAGATCTTTGGAGCTATGTGAGTTTATTAGAAATTAAAATTCATAACCAAAAACTGAAAATCTCTGTTAATGCACATTTTAATTAAATTAAATTGGTTAATAATGTTGCAGGCTTGGAAACATTGGAGGGAAGACAGGGCATTAGAGATGGTGGATCAAAGTCTTGGAGGTTTGTATTCGAGAGACGAAGTGATACAATGTATCCATGTTGGGTTGTTGTGTGTCCAAGATGAGGTGGATGATAGGCCAACAATGGCAAATGTTGTGTTGATGCTAAATAGTCATTCTGTAACAAGGAGGACACCTAATCCGCCACTTAAACTTGCGTCTTAAATGGTGCCCCAGTTTTTGAACACGATTTATTTTTTGTCTTACATTTTTCTGTAAATTAAAAATCTACTTCTAGAGATTGGGATATGATCTAGCTAATCTCCTAATAGTCAAGAAAAAATAATAATTATTTCAAGATTTGTTGTACACCCAAATCAACATTCAACACTGATGTCTTTGTCAATGACAAAGTCTTCCCGGGGCGTAATTGTCTATGCAGCCCTTCAAACATTTTAACTTAGTGGGACCATTTACAAAGTCTTCTGCCCTTTAAGTGAACAAAAGATTTTTTTTTTTTAGCGACGAGCAGCCATTACTTGATGATATGCATAATCTTAGTCGGGAGTTGCAATGAGGTAAACTAGTTTAAATTGTTCATAATTAGCCTCTTTTTTTTTAGGAAAAAGGGGGAGGGGGTGACCCTAGAAAACAACTGTTTTACACTCGTTTCCAAAAAACGTTAACCCAATCATCCCTCAGCAAGACTTCCAACTCCGGTGGAGGTGTAAGAAACTCCACCCACTCGCATCTTCTTCTCAGGGCAATCTTCGCTAGCCAATCCGCCACATGATTGTAATCCCATGTGTTGGTCCCGATAGAATGAGATGAGAGTCTAGAGGAGGGGGGGGGGGGGGGGGGGGTGAATAGACTCTTTTCGTTAGAACCCCTAAACGTCACCTTTCGGTGTCTTGGCGCAGCGGATAAGATAGATTTGTTTTATATACTTTACACGAGTTTGCATAATTAGACAAACTTTCGGTAACGATAATAAAGGAATGATATGAGAGCAAAAAGAAAAGCGTAAGTAAAGAGATAGAGAGGACACAAGATTTTATAGTGGTTCAGCCAATGTTGCCTACTCCATCTTCTTCCACAACTGTTGGAAGGATTGCACTATCACTCTTAGTACAAATACACAAAGACTTCCTTGATCACTAAGCCGGACAGCCTTCGTAGGTTTTTCAACTCCTCGAGTTTACTCCGCCTCTATCAACTTCTTCTTCTGAGTTGAGGTTGGTAGAAAATGATTTCTTGAATTCTCCAACAATGAGGTCTTGACTCTGAGATATGATTGCTTCGAACAAATGTCAAGACTTCCTTGAGGTGTAAGACAAAAGATTCTTCAAGTAACTTAGCACCTCAAAGCTGGTTCACAAAAGCTTTTAGTAAATTGTAGACTTTTCAAGAGCTTTTGTAAGTGAGTAAGTTGAGTGATAATAAACCAGCACCTTCTTAGTTGATGAAGGTGAGTTTATATAGGTGATGAAAATCCATCCGTTGGAGGGAGATGAAATTTTCGAACCTTTTAACCATTGGACAAGGACCGGGGAGCTTCATGTATTAAATGCTCCATTAATGAGGTTGTACCATGTAGCCGTTGAAGGTATGGAAAGCATTGGGGTTTTGTCCTTTAGCTCCAAGATACGGTACATCTTCATTTAATGCTTCTTGAAAAGTGTGTCCCATAAGATGAAGTCCTTATTGTCCTAGGATGTTGTCAAATCAGACAGGTGAAACATTCTTCTCGTTGTTGAAGAGAAGTAATGCTTGATAAATATCGTCTTTCACAAACACTGTCCTTTCGTGCTTGTTGACAACTCCTGCTTGATTCTCGTTGTTGTTCTTCATGTCTCGTGTCTTCTTTCGCCTTGGAGACCCTAACATCTAGTCATAACTCATTTTCGTGTGTTTGTCTAGCTTAACACGAATTACAGAGGAGTTATGGCAACTTTCGTCTAGGACGAAAGCAGCGATTAAAAAAGCTAATGGTTAGGGGTTTACTTTTCTACATTACATTGGTATCATCAAAATCCTAATACAATGTTCCTAACACCATGTTGTATGCTCTAGCCGCAACTCCCAATCCTTCTTGAGCCACTCTCTACAAAGTCTTGTGAGGTCACCACTCGGGCACACGGGCCTAGGGGTATAGGTCCATCATTGATCCATTGGATTGCCATCATGGAGTCACTAAAAATATGCACTTTGCGTAAGCCAAGCTCCCAAGCCCATTGCATTGCATTGAGTATGGCAACCATCTCTCCTTCCGTTGCAGAAGTTGTTCTCGAAAGACAGCTGAAGCCTTTCATCCATTGACCATCCTGGTTTCGCATCACCCCTCCACAGCCAGTGATCTCACCTGGATTAGTGAAAGAAGCATCAGTGTTAATGACCGCCCAGTTCGTGCCCCTAGACCACAAAGTCATTGGCTTCCATAAACTAGTTTAATTATTGTAACGCTGAAGTATAAATTTAATAACACTTCATGTTCATTTGACAATATATATTATTGTATGAGTTCTGATTTTTAGTTTCATTTTCACACATACTAGTTTATTGTAGTAATACTAAAGTATCATTTTAATTTTTTGACAGTTTCATTTGACAATATACATTATTGCTTAAGCTCTATTATTAATTTTATTTTCACACACACTAGTTTCATTTTAACAATATTAAACTATTAAAGTATCATTTTAACTTTATTACAATTATATTATATTACACCATGTTCCACTATATAACAACTAATACTTGCTCAAATATGCCTGGTAGACCGCTTCAAGACTGACCATCCTGGCCCTTATATCCAATATAATTCATCACTTACAACTCCTCCCTCGTATACGGACTCCATGTGCATGCGCTGCTGTATATGCACTACTTAGCCAAATTGCTCCAACATTTACTGTACTTTCTGTGTGCTGCTATTGAAACAATATTAATAAACTTGGGGCAAGCACATGGGTCGAGAGCAACACAATTATAGTGTCATTAAAATAATATTAAACTTAAGGGCATGATATGAAAAGTAATTAAAACATCAAATTGTCATTCTCTATACTCAATCAAAATATAGATCTCAGAAAATAAAATAAATTATATTGAATTAAGCACCAAAGTAATTTATAAAGCACGTACTTGAAAATAACATATCCCTCGTCACTAAAAGCAATAATTAATAAGTGTCGCTTGCATGGCTGCATGGGCAGTTCAGTTGGTAATATGGTAAAATTTGAGAAGAATGTTCAAGAATAGAGTCTCACCAGCAGCAGTGTGGGAGCAACCTTTTAAAGTGAGGGCTGTGGGAGCAACCTCTCAAAGTGAGGGCTCCTTATGCACAGTAAGCAAATATCTAGCCTTGCTGATTCAACTAAATTATCGGGGCGGGGTGAATTTACGATTGAAATTTTTACATTCAAATCTGATTCATGCAACGGATGGAAGCAGTACTCACGGAATGGAGGTAAAATGTTCATCTCCAATTATACATAATTAATTTGTATTTGTTGGATATATTCAGGGTTACAAAAATCGGGCCTAGGCGCCGATTAATCGGCGCTAGGCGGTCGGCCACCTAGGCGCCTGGGGACCGCCGCGGGCGCCTAGCGATTTTTTCAACCTTTGATATATTAGAGATGGACCCGGAACAAATCGATCCGGTGGAGCGGAGCAAGACGTGGCCGGTTGGACCCGAGGCCCCGAGATCGAGTCCCGGCTTAGCAACGGCTGTCAAGATCGAGCCCACGGCTCGACCCCAGGCCTCCAAGGCCGAGCCCAGTGCTTGGCCTCGGCCCCAGGCTGCCAATGCCGAGCTCGGTGCTTGGCCTCGATCGGCTACGGTCACCGAGCTCGGCCTCGATCAAGTGAGCCGGGAGTGGTCAAGGTTGTTACAACTAATTTCCCTATTTATGGGGACAGTTGAGAAATACCTTAGTATATATTCAATTGTCATTGACTCATTGTCTTGTTAGGACATCTTCAATACATTTGTAATAGCATTACAATTACAATATTCTTAAAGACAACATTCTTGTCTTTTTCGATTGACATTATTGTTTTTACATTCATGTATTGAGTTAATACTCAAAATGATTCTCGACTATGGTGGTTTTTCTTGATTTGGTTCTAAATAACTTTTGTGGCCCAATGTAGTCCAAGAGACTTGTGAGGTTTTGCTCAATGCAGTCCTTTGTTTGTTATTTCGACCAATTGGTGTTAAATAGAGGTACAATTTTGGTAATTCCAATGTTTTCAATTTGTCACTCTTAATTTGTCATTCTTTTCAACTTTTAGATCTTTCCCATTCTTAATGTCATAATTCTCTATAGCTTCTTTAAACTATTCTCTACTAGCAAATGTTAATCCTTAGTTTAAGATGGGATTTTCCATGTTAGCAAAGTATTGCAATTACCAAATTGTACCTCTATTTAACACCAATTGGACGGAATAAAAAACGGAGGACTACATTGAAAAATAACACATAAGTCTAGGACTACATTGGTCACAAAAGTTGTTTAGAATGATATCAAGAAAAATCACCAAAGTCAAGAACTATTTTGGGTATTAACTCTTCATATATTTTATCTTCATCATGATTTATTATTTTTAATTATGTAATTCGGACTAACTGATTAATTTAATCTATCAGTGTTGATGAGAAAACACCAAACAATTAGAAAAGACCAATCATAAAAAAATTCCAATTTACCAAATTAAATAGCATTTCTTCTATAAATATTCTAGGAGTTATGAATATTCTATAAAGTACAACGAAGAAGTTACATTTGACCAACCTCAAGTCCTATTCACGCGGTTCCTAAAGCATTAAAATAATACAACCATGCAGCATCTTCTTCACCATATATACTTGATTGTGATAGACATTAAATTTATAAAACGTACAACCATGCATCTGATCTTGATTTGGTTTTGCTTGTTCATGAGCTTCAAGTTCATCACCAAAGCTGATTCTGCTTCTGCTCTACGATATTATTGCCCAAATACAACTTCTTACTACACTCCTAACAGCCCCTACAAAGCCAACCTTGATGTTCTTCTCTCTAATCTTTATTCCAATGCCACCCGAGCCGACAATATTAATGGTTTCTACCACACCACAGTCGGCGGTGGCGCTTCCAACGACACCGTGCACGGCTTGTTCCTGTGCCGGGGCGACGTCTCCCCAGACGTTTGCGGCGGCTGCGCTGGAGATGCCCGTAAAAGGATATTGGAGCTTTGCAGCGATGGAAAGACCGCCATGATTTGGTACGATAACTGCATGTTGCG